TATATAGACATAAATTCGGTGTATTCGTGACAAAAGAAACATAGAAAGCGTCCTTTCGTGGTATATTGTACATTCGGTGTATACTTTTAATCTAGTATACTTTTAAATTCGGTGTATTTGATTTTTGATATCTTTTTTATTTGATTGGGTTTACAGGCGCCACGTAGACAATGTTGTGAAATTGTCAACAGTGAAGAAGACTCAGAAAGCGTAATCAATGTCAAGATACGGCATTTTAATCCTTTGGAAAGTGTAACTCCTCAGTCAAAGCATCCGAACGACGAATGGACCGACTCCATTTTATCTACAGAGACTATATAGTTTTATCTCAAGAGGAAATGAACTATTCTTTTATGTAAATATCAGCAAACCGAATATCAAAATTTTTATAAAGTCAAAATTATAGAGACTGTTAGTTGTTTAGCATTTCATTTTGAAGAGTATAGTCTTATCTAGTCATGTAAACATTTTCCCTAGATATATTTATTCGTATTGCTTATAGATTGGGCTTGGGGTCTAGCTAGACGATATATCTTGAAATTGATGGTGTAGGAGACAAGTTCGGATTCTTCATATCCAAAATTTTTTTACATGTTTTTTTAAAAAGATGAATTACTATCGTACAAATGTATCGGTCAAAGGCAAACTTATCAAACGCGAATAGCAGAACCGCAACCGCAATAAACGCTAATGTAGAAAATGTTCCATTGCCCCCAAAGAAAAAATAAACGACAAACAGACTCAACTAGATAAACCCAATTAGTCGAAATTGGTTTCAAAACGTTTATTTTTCTCCCTACTTTTCATGCTTCGGATCTTTTGTGTGTTTTGTTACTCTTTTCCGCTTTGTTGAACTGTATGATCACCTTCGTACTATCTTATAAGACCATGTACATGGGTGATATTTTTAGAGTATCACAAGTCCAAAAATTATTTTTATATTAGTAAAGCAATTAGAATATGCTTATCAGTATCAGCCCACTGATATTTGTAATACCAGTATCATCTGACGTGGCTTCTTCTGATTGGTCACATTTAACAAAAGCAAAAAATATTATATATATTTATTAAACAAATATTATAAATAATACTAAAAAAATTCTTAATGATACTTTGTGAGTATTACCTATGAACATGCTCTAACAGTTTTATATATATATTATAAAAAAATAAAAAATAAAATGCTAGAGCTTTGTTTTTCTCCCAAAAAAACTGTAATAAAAAACCTTTATTATAACAAAGAATCAATCCATTGAACTACTTGTGTACAATGATGTTGAATACTTCAAAGCTGTGCTATGAGAAGTTCATTCCAAGTATCCGGGATCCCGGGTAAGCACCAAT